CTCGGCAGGGAGCCTGCTTCTCCCTCTGACCCTCCCCCCTCTCATGTGCTCTCTCTGTCTCAAATAAATAAATAAAATCTTTAAAAAAAAAAAAACAAAAAAAAAAACCACACACTGAGGAGCACAGGAAAATATTCAGAGCTGGGTTCCTGAGAACATTCTAGATGTCCTAGAACGGTGTACCTTTTCAGACTTCACATGTAAATTAATTAAGTGGTTTCACTGCTTATCCATTAAATGGTTAGTTGCGTATTCTTCTACCTGAAGCCAAAAGGATTTTTAACTGATAGAGTATGTTGGTAGAAAGTGGGGGCAGGGTAAGAAAGGGGTATAAGATGCCTTCTATTCCAGGTATTCCAACAAAGAAATTGCTAATGAAGAGGGAGGAGAAAAAGAGCTGGCAGGTAGACACCTACACCTACACACACAGACGCAAATTACTAACGGTATCTCTTATGAACTATTGTCAATTGACTCCATTGGAAAATTCACGAATTCCATTCTAAATGAAACACAATTATACTGGCACATCCCAAAGCACAACAGGAAGTTAGTTAATTTTATGAAAAACTATCATTACATAGGAACACAAAAGTACACACATCACCCCCAAGAGTAAAGGAGGCAAAGACAAGTATCAATACCTTCATAGTTAGTAACTCTGAAATTCACTAAAATCATTTTTTCTGATTACCTGCAATTTAACTGGCTCAGGCAGTTTCATTTGGAGCAGGCCTTCCTTTGGCCTCTTATCCCCTTTGGCTTCTTCTTCACCAGCTCCTTCTGGCATGGCATCTTCTGGGCTGGGCTCTTTCTCCAGCGTGTCCGTCTCCTCGTCCGGAGTGGTGGCTTCCTTGAACACACTGGGCTCTATCAACCTCAAGATGTGTTTCAAGTCCTCATTGTGGAAGATCCCCATGATGAGCAGAGTATAGAAAAGCTTGATGAGAGGTACAAAGAGGAACTCAGTGGTCCCCCCAACGGGGTCCCGGGCATGAAGGCTGCCCTCTTTAACAGCTTCTGTCAACATCTGAATGGTTTTGGCCTTGAGGATGTCCAGCGGGAACTCTGGACTGTACTGGTAACATTCATTATTAATGCTTACAAAACTGGGAGAGGAAAACTGTATCCGTGGCCTGAGGGAGGTGCTGAGGCCAATCCCTGGGAGGCCATGTTTTTTCTTCTCGTCGGGGAAAAGGGTGATGCTCTTGGTCTCCTCCGTCATGGGCACAATGAATTCACTGTTCATCATGAGCCTGGCCGTGGCGTAGGAGCTAAGGTGGATGTCAATCAGCAGGTCATAGTAGCCTGCACGCAGCAAACCGGGCATGTATTTGTTCTCGATGGCGTAAAGCAGCTGAGGTTCATCCACGTGGCTGCACAAGGCGTGCGCCACCCGGTGGTTCCCAAGAGCGCAGACAGCGGAGTAAAGCCGGAGAGTGTGATAGTGGAATTTTAGCAGCTCCTCCTGCTCTGTCAACTCCAGTATGTCCACAGATCTGAGGAAGGAAGGAGCGTGGGAGCAAGGTTATGCAGAGGACATTTTTCAAAATTCTGAATCAGAGGAGAAATCTGTGTACATCACAAATTTCAAAAAGTTACGGAAACACTTTTTTGTTTTTATAGTTTTCTGTGGCAGGTTTCATGATAGCATAGTGGTTTTTTTTTTTTCCCCCTTAATCAGTACTACATATGTTACAAGTTTTCCTCTTTTATGTTGGAAATTTCCAACTGGTAGTGCTTGGAGCTTTTTCATCTTCCATTACCCCAAGGTTTGGGGCACCTCTTTTCGATACAGTATCCATCTGGATGTGGGGACTGCCTTCCTTTCAAAAGTTGAGCACTCCTTGGAAAATCCTGAATGTCCCTTTCCAACTTGGCTAAGCTGGCTCAAGAAGCCAGAAAACTCTGCCTTAAGCTATGTTGCCCTTGTCTCTGACCCATGATTTGCTATTACACTGACCAGTCAGAAGTAAGCAAGTGAAGGGCTAATTCCTCTGACATGAGTTACTGTCTCATACATGCCTCACAGCCCCACATGTCCACCAACGCAGCTCTGGTTTCCACCAGATTTGTGCAGCTCATGAAACAAACATGATCTGTGACATTGCACTTGGGAAAGTTTCTGCTGGGAATCTGGTGACACTGGGCTCTTAATTCAGGTCATTTTGCTTCTACCACATATCATGACCTTCCAACATATAAAACCTTAAAAGTATGGCCAGAATATGCCTAAAGTAAAGCCATTCCTTTCAAAATAGAGTCAATTTTAAAAGCACATAATTCCTTTAGATGTGCTAAATTTTCTAGACTATTTATTTAAATTATTAAGATGGCTCATGGGTGACACTGTAGAATTAAAAGTAGAAACCTGATATATTCACAATAAAGGGAATGACTCATTCATCTAGGAAAGCGTCCTTGGTGAGAGTGTAATATAAACTCATCAGAACATGGGTTATTATATGACTTGTTTATTAATATTCATCCTGCACTTAACCTGGTACACAGTAGGGGCTGAGGATTTCTTTGTGATTATTTGTTGTTAAGCTCTGTCAGGTCCTTAGGTACTCTATCATCCTGTCCATGCCCACCTACCATATCTATGCTGCCCGGCTCACAGGTATTCCATTGAAAGCTTGACAGTGCAGAATTGTTCCAGACCGCACCTCCCAAACTTCAGAATCAGAAGCTTTATGCGATAGAAACCCAAAGTGAATGATTACCCACCCTGTGTACCACTCTAGACCTCCAGGAAACCACCCAACTGTGGGTCTCAGCTGCTAGCACCCAGTTCTGGGGAAGTTATAATTGAGCAGGCTTTCTCCTTCAAAGTATAGTGGACAATGATTCCCATATCTTAAGTAGGCCCCCAGTCTCTCAAGAAGACTGTTAGCCTGGCCGATGGTCAAATATAGATAAACTTGTTCACTGTAGCAACACAGAACATCTGCATTCTAGGTTCTTATTGAAGAGCACAACTTCATCTACTGTCTAATCACTCTCAAACTGTCAGTTTCTAGAAACAACAACTAAGGACTCTACATTGTTGCTGCCACCTTCCAACCCACCCCCCATTATTCATTTTATGGCACCCCATTCCTTCCTTTAAAGCACCTCTCTTCCCTACTAGACCATGAAATCTTTTAAGGTAAGAGCCATGTCTGTTTTATACACCATTTACTATCCAGTGCCAGGGACACAGTGGGAACTAAGACATATTTGTGGAATGAATGAATAAGGGAAGTCTGAAGGATGTATAGTCTACATCTCCCAACTCTACATTTAGGTCAAGGTAAACCAAAGCATAGACCTCAACCAGTTTAATCTGTCTTCCCACACCAACTCCTTGTAGCAATATTCATACGTTAATGAGCTATGGCTTCAACTGGAGGATAGCAAAAGAAATAACTCATTGTTTTATCTGTTATAAGGACAATACTAAACATAAAATAAAACACCTGCTTAGCATATAATATAGATTATACTCTTGTTTATACATATTCTCCCTCTTCCTTCTTCCCTGTATGTGGAGTAATCTCCGCCCTACTTACTTTGGGCTTGGCTATATGACTTGCTTGGGTCAATAAAACATGAATGAATGTAACATCTGCCACAAGCAAAAAGAAGTTCTCAGAGACCTCAGGTGTCTGTTAACCCTCCTGAACATCCATGCTTGGCCACGGAAACCCTATGTCTCAGGCTGGGAGCTGCCCCATCAGCTTGGGTCTCAGGGTAAGAAAGCCCATGGACCACACGCATCGCCCACCCCAGCCTGGCGCAGACCTTGTCCAACCGCTAAGTCTTAAGTCAGATTGCAGCTGTACTTGTCTGAATGTTTACCTGCTCTTAGCGGAGATAAAACGAGAGGAAAGGAACAATATCCTATGGCCCCTTCAAGGGTGGTATAATAATTTTGTTTCAGTAACAAAGTAGATGAGAAAGAGATTTCAACTTGGAATATGTGAAATAATATCTCCATTGCCCCCAAGAAATTAGATATTTTTAAGCTTTCTTTTGTATCCCCAGCAACACCCCCGATTTCGAAGGGTCCCAATCAGACAGTAAAGGGCACGCGGGGCTGACCTGTTCTCCTCCGGGATATGAAGAGACATGAACTGCAGAGGATCCAAACACTGCACTAGCCAGCCTTGGCGCTCACTTATTCGAGAGACATCGACCTTCAGGAACTGGTTGGGCATCCTGCTCCACAGGACGTGGGATAGAAATTGCACGTGGAGACGCGGTGGACACTGTGGCACAGGATTTTTGTGCTCGCTCTTGAATAATCCCGCCGATAGAGGCATCACATTCTAGGGAATGCGGGAGCAGAGAAAGAATTAATTTATAACAGTTTTGGGGGTTAATGAAGTAATGACCACAGTCCTGCACAGGAGAGAGATACTGGAAGTAAGATACCCTCTGCGTCCAGCAAAGTCAATACAAGAAATAACAGAACTTGGATTGAGTTGCTCCTACAAGGACAAGAGGAGAAAATATTATGAGAGAACGTATCTAAAACTGGTTGGGGATATTGCTTTCATATACACTCTCTGGCTACCTGGGAACGCAATGGCAACCAAATATAACCACAGAATTTTCATATTTCTTTGCCGAGCTGGGCCCTCAGTGAAATCCGGCAAGCCTTCAGGCTGCTTTTGGCACCCAACTCTGGAAAGAGTTACATTCACTTGGCTCTCTCCTTGTCTGTCCCCTGTCACCCACCTCCTCCTTCAACCACTCACCCATTCACTGTCAGGTTTATCAGGCTTTAGTAGCCGGTGGTATTCTGGAGACAGCTCAACAAATAAACGGGACCATTACACAAGGAAACAGAATTCATCATTAACACAATTTATTTGTCATTCACCTTCCTCCACCTCCAATACATATCATCTTCAGCCTTCCTAATTCCTTCCGTCTGGTCTCAAGGAAAGAGAGATCTCTACTGCGCCAAAACTTATTCGTCCACTTATGACCTTGATACTATCCCCACCTACCTCTTATGGGCCATATAAAAACAATGACCTCACTTTTCCCATTACCTTCAGTGTCTCCCTCTCCCATAAAGCCTTGTCTACTGTATACTTATACACGGTTTCATCCTCAAGCTACTTTCCTATTCTCCCCTGCTAATGGGGGGGAAAAAAAAGGCCTGGCATTGCTTTAGGCACTGAAGGAACAGAATACACAAAACCCCTCCTCTCATCCAGCTCCCATCTTTTTTTTATTGGAGATAAAAAAAAAAATAGTCAGAAAGCAGATTCAACAACAGACCCAGGATGGAGGAACCAGAAGGCAGGGCAGGAATAATAAACAGAGTAGTTAGAAGGGGAGTCACTGAGAAGGTGATAAAGAAGGACCCAAAGAAGAAGCATATGGACTTGCAGGGGAAGAAACTTCCATGCAGAAGGGACGGTCAACGCAAAGGACCCGAGGAGGAAGTCTGCCTGGCAAGTTTGAGGAAGAGTTGGAGGCCAGGGTGGCTGGAGTGGAACGAAGGAGGGGAGAGCAGCAGGAGATGAAGTCAGGGAGGTAATAGGAGAGCAGACTGTTTAGACTTGAGAACCATCGTGAGACCTCGGGTTTTTGTGTTCAGGGAAAGAGGGTTTCAAGCAGTGGAATGGCACAATCTGATTCTTTTTGAGAGCAGTGACAGTCACTCAGATTGTTGTGCGATGAACAGATGGGCAAGGGGGAATTCAGGAGACCCCATCAAGAGGCTACTTGAGGAACCTGATGAGGAATGATGGTGATGGAGATCGGTGTGATCATCAAAAGGGGCGATGGCAACAGGTTGCGGGCCAGGGATTAGCTGGCAGATGGAACTGGGATGCGGAATGTCAAGGAGAGAAGTCAAGCATGACCTCAAGGTTGTGGGCCTGAGCAAGTGGGTTTGCTATTTACTGACATGAAGAAGACTGTAGATTGGACAGGTTAGGAGGAGGAGGTGTGATGGTCCGCACTTCTATTTTGGACATATTTAGACATATTTAATTTGCAATGTCTGTAAAACACCCAGATGGAAATGTCAAATAGACCAACATGAGTCAGAGTTCTAAGAAACGACTGATCTTTTGGTTAAGTTATATATATATATAAAATATATATATACATAAAATATATAAATTATATATATATATAAAAAACCATCCAAATTTGCTGTCTTTCTCTCATTTTCAGTGCTGAATTTGCTACAATATAGTTTCATCCATCATTTTGCTGAAATTCTTCTGGCAAGGTCACGGAAGCCTTCCTAACGAATAAGAGTCACAGATTCCTTTAGTCCATATTATATTTGCCTTCCTGTGGCTACTGAGAATCTCATTTTACAAAGGCAGAAACTGAGCTCACACAGTTGAAGGAAAAAAAATGTCCAAAGTCACCGAGCCAGCCCTGTAAAACTGCCTATGGTATGCATCCTGATGTGTGCCTTGCATCTCAAATTTACAATTGCAAAATTCAATTCAGTTCCTTTTCCTGCATTTCAACAAGCTCTTCTGCTTATTGTATTAGCATCCCTTAGTTGTCCAAACTAAAAAAAAGTAGTAATAATAATAATTTAATCCTCGAATCTTCATTCTCCTTGAGTACTTGGATCCAATTCAGCAACAAATCCTATCAATCCAATTAACTGTCACATTTTATTCATTTCTCCTCTACAACATCTTCTCATTTAACATTCTCCCTCCATTATGACTTCCACAGCTCTCATCGTCTTGTCCCATGAAGACAGTATCAAATTGGGGTACCTCAATTTTCCTGCCTGTTCTCATTCTTGAGAGAGCAGATACTTCCCCACATTGCCACCTCCACATGACTGCCAATGTATTTTTCCAAAACAGGTTTCATTATACTCAAGCCCCTGCTTCAAGTTTCCAATGGATCAACAATGTCCACATAACAGGTGCCAACTTCTTAGCATGGCATTCAAGGCCTTTCCAGCTTGGACTCGGTCTCCCTTCTATCCACGTTAATCTCCAGCCACATCCTGGAAGGCACCCTTGGTTAAGTTGCATTGAATTCCTTAACCTTTAGCACTGTGATTCACATACCTTTGCTTTCTTGCGCCCTCTGTCTAGAATGGCCTCTCCTACTAAATGTATTCTGAGATCTCTTATTCAATGGTTAAGAATCAATCTACATGTCCCCTCTTCCTTTAGCTTTATTTGGTACACCCTGTCCAACCTCCAACTTCTTTGTTCTTCCACTTGTTCCACAGTACTCTACACCTGCACTATTCTAGCACTTACCATTATGTGGCAGTTTCGTGTCTTTAAGCCCATTTACTAGCTTACCTGTGAGTTCAATGATTATCGAATGGTATGTTATTTGGCATTTTTGTTCCATATAAGCCTAGTTTTCTTGAATAATATATTTATGATGACCACAGAGAAGCCTTTTTTTGTTCTTAACTATTTTAATGAATTAATAAATACTTTAAATTGTTGCAGAAACCCTTTCTAATTAATTTCGTTGCCCCAGTGACCTGAAGAAGATTACAGAACTTTCAAGCATGGCTTACCTTTCTTTTAAAGGATCATTTATGTAACTGATATCAGTACTAAAAAAAAAATACTGAATTCATTTAAAGAAATAACTGGTATTCCCTAATAGAAAGACCCCAAATATAATATCAGCAATGAGTCTTTCTTACCTTTATTCTTCCCAACTCAAACTGGAAAACATTGGGACTTGTAGCTTGTGCAAACACTGCAGGAAATAATTTTGTACTTGGCTCCACCTTAAACAAACAAATGAATTTGGTAAGATTAGACAATGAAGGAACACAAAGAAAAAATATTTTCTTTATAACGACTAAGGAACACTTTACAGAAAGGGACTGGACACTTGCATTCTCTCAGACAGATATCCCCTTTCAATAAATTTGGATTATTTAATGGCATTATCATATGAACATTTCTGGAGGAATGTACTGTTTCCTCTGAAAGGCACTGTTATTATTCAAACAGAGATAAAAAGGGCAGAATTAAACTCATCTAGATCTCTTTTCATTTTATTCTAATTTCTTTTTTTTATTTAAGATTTTAATTTATTTGAGAGAGAGACAGAGAGATAGAGGGATCGCATGCAAGCTGGAGGGACAGAGGGAGAGAGAGAATCCTAAGCAGACTCCCTGCTGAGCAGGGAGCCTGACCCAGGGCTCAACTCCATGACCTTGAGATCATGACCTGAGCTGAAATCAAAAGTCGAGGCTTAACCGACTGAGCCACCTAGGCACCCCATTGTTTTCTTCTAATTTCTGTTGTACTTTTTGGTCTAAAATGTGTTTTTCCTCTCATGGGGAGAAAAAGCTTTCTTTCTGGAAGCATGCCACCATCTCTGCCCACAGACCTGGTAGTACGTGCCCAGCTCCTTGCCGTTGGCGGTGAACGTGAGCAGCCCACTGGCAGCGTCCACCACACACCCGATCTCCAGGCCATTGTTGTTGCGTCCCTGCCCGGGGCTCATGCTCTCACCCGCACACACCATATAGCAGTTGCTGCGTTTGATGCTGAATTTCAAAAAAAAAAAAAAACAAACATATTTTCATCTTCGTACGACCACAGACATGACAGAAAGCTATATCTTGCAAACTAAACCTAAATTATGCTGCGCAAGCAACAAGCTCATGCTGTAATGGGAGAGGTGCACAATGGGCCCGATTCTGTGATTCTGAGCAAAACTCCATTGACTTCGTGGACATTCTGAATCAGGTCTTACACATCTCTGAATTTCGCACCTAATGGAGACAGGTCAACAAGTTGGAACCAAGTAAAAACTGACCTGCACCTTCCCTCCAAAAACTCAAACCAAACTGGACCTTTTTCTGAGGTTCAAAAAAGTTTAACTGTTTAATAATCATCCAAATTTGCAATTTTCATTCTCATAGGGTTTTGTTTTTTTTTTTTCTTTTTAAACCACTTGTTCAGGGATGAGAAGCATTCATTTCCAAACACTATCAAAATCCTGAGGCAAATTCTATGTGAGCCATCAGTGATTCAGTATATTTAAAATTTGGCTAAAATTATGCCCCTTTGTGGACAATTTCTGGTGATCTGTTATGAGAGAAAAAATTAGCTAGAATATGCATTAAAATAAATGATATTAACAACAAACCCTTGTTTCACCCTCACCAAAACCTTTACCAGAGATGGTAATAAACGTGATTTGAGCTTTGCCTCCTTCCCTTTCTCTGCCACAACAGAGTGAATGTGTTCATGAAACAATCAAAAAAAAAAGTCAAAGGCAGGCAAGTAGGAGGAAAAGAAAAAGAAGGCTGAGATAAAGTCAGTTTCGGAATAATCAAGTTGGCTCTGTTTCTTCGCCCTACTTACATAAGATTCGACAACCCTTCCCTACCCTCTTATTTCTTATGCTAAAATCATCTCTCAGGTATCCCATCCCCTCTGTTGGGTTATTTCCTTATACTATTGCCATCTCTGAAAAATCAAATGTGTCCTGCAAGAATATTCCCGGGGACAGGTGGTTTGGGACCCCCATACTGATGTATAAAGCACTCCTGACTGGAGATTTTGGCTCGGCCCACTGTCTCCAGGGCTCCAGTGTTACAACCTAAAGGCAGGGGAGTGAGCTTCCAGTCACTACAAACGATGGTGCAGGTAGAGAAGAGAAGCAAGGTTATGGAGGACTTTTTCTATGAGACCTGTCACAGCAGATCAGAGAGGATGCATGGGCACAAAAGGTAGATGCAAATGGTCAGATCTTCTCTTGTCTTATTCTGCAAGGAAGATAGCCTTCTTCACTTTTTTGAAGGTTTGGTTTGAGTTTGGTTTTGTCTTACAAATGAAAAAGGATGGCACAGAAAGTGTAAGTGACTTACCCAAAGCCACACAGCGAGTCAATGGCAAAGCTGAGGAAAGAACCCACTACTCCTCAGTCTGAGTTCAAATGCGTCCACCTGGTCTCAACTACTAGCCCATATTCTCTTCATTTTTTTCTCCCCACCACATAAACAGTTCCCAAGACACATTTCAGACCACAGAGATCTCACATTCACCCATCCCTAATCCCTAAAACAAAGGCTAAGGACGGGTAACCCAAACTGTTAGTCACACAGTGTCACCTAAAGGAATATACAATTTTTACCCAAAAAGGATGCACTCCTCTTACTTCTATAATGTTTTTCACTTTTAATATATTCAGATTCCTTACTGGTTTGTAGGAGTAACAAAAAGGAACTGACATTAATGGTTTGATGATATTGTTCCTATAAATACAATATTATCCTGGACATGAAATCCAAGGTGGGGGTGGAAAAAAACACCTAGGTTTATCAACATTTTCATCAGATATCATTCATGTAAAAAGAAAATTGAGAAAAACCGACCTTTCATGCACTTTTCCCTTTTCGTCTCCTAGAGTAACGGTTACTGTACGAACTCTGTCCAAGTCAAAGCCTGTATCATATTGATGGAAATCTGATGTAATCCAGCCTACCCAGACGTTAGTAGGTTCTTGGCCAGGAAAGATTCTCACTGAGTAATAGTACTGTCAAGACAGTAAAACCAAGTGTTGGCAAAGTAAGAAGAAACAAAACTTTGATATGCAATGTCTTTGAGCTGCCTAAGACTGTATTTCTTTGTTTAAAATCATTTGGCCTAATTCAAATGTTATAGGTACAAAGAACTGACACTGTGAGGTAGGTCTGAAAACAGAGCGAAGGGAAATTAAATCACAAATAATGGGAAAAAGAGAAAAGATTTTATCAGAGCAAACATTCTAAGTGATTTGAGGCTTTTTATACTCGTAAGTATGTATGTTTTATGTACATCCATAACATACATACAAATGTATGTGTACATATATAGTATGCTTATGTAGAAAAATAATCCATGTAGGCAGGTTAAGTTTCATATTCTTAAGTTTACAGAAGCATACTAATCAATGCTGAGTTTTTATGCCTGTCACCCACCTCTTTGAATATGCTTCACCTTTCCTACCAATAACATAATATTTTGACACCTTAAAATCACTTTGAAATAGTTCAGAAGTAATAAGTGAAAATCTAGCTCAAACATGGGGACACTCTACGAGGGGTAGAACTATATATTTTTTCCCATTTGGCATTTTAGGAAAAGTTGTTTTGGAAATGGTAAATGGTAGATGGCAAAACGTGACCTCCAACAAAGTATTTTAAATCATCTTCCTTTAGACGTATCACTAAGATGAAGGAAATCATACGCACTTTGAAAAATTAAGTGGAAATCAAAATTTTTCCAAGAAACGGGATAGCAAAATCAGGATTAAACACACCATGAGGATATTTTGCCTAAAATAGTTCCCTTAGTACATAATATACATCAGAATATACCTATGCTTTTCAAAATTTTGGCCCCAAAAATATAAGCAAATAATTATTTTAAAATAAGCTGACTAAATAGGATGAATGAAAATGAACTCTTTGAAATGCAACACATAATAAGTGACAAAGAGGAGTAAGTGACAAAAGCTGCAACCTCATACCGTGGACGTTTGCATCAAGTAATCATAATCATCCCGATCATCTGCAAGGACATCTTCAGTGAGTCTTGCAGAATGGCTCGTGCTGTAATCTGGCTTTGTTCTTCTAAGCAAAAATCTGAAATATATTACAGGACTAAGAATAAGCAACATTAAAATGTTCTGCCTCACTGGAACATGAGCATATAATCATGTTAGTAGAGTGGTTCAAAATAAGGGTGATTTTGCTCCCCAGAGGACATCTGGTACTATCTGGAGACATTTCTGGTTGATGCAGCTGGGGGTGTGTGCCACTGACATCTAAGTGGGTGGAGGCCAGGGATGCTACTAAATATCCTTCAATTAACAGGGCAGACGCTCATATCAAATAATTATCTGACCCAGAGCATTGATCATGCTGAGGTTGAGAAATTAGGATTTAGTGCAAAAAAGGATGCTAAAATAACTTGCCTTCTTGTCTATAAAAAAATACTACTGAAGAGAGTATACTCTAGAATACTCTCTAAGTTTCAACCAAGAACATAAATATAAACATCTTAAAAACTAACTCTTAGGAGGGCACGTTCTGCATGGAGTACTGGGTGTTATACACAAACAATGAATCATGGAACACTACATCAAAAACTAATGATGTAATGTATGGTGATTAACATAACAATAAAAA